CGCTCCGGTCTGACTCTGTCTCACTGCCACTGTTCCTGACTGTTTCTTGAGGAAAAGATTTCTCTGGGAAAAGGGCCATCAGAGCTGGACGACCTTTGATGATCTTTGGCCTTTGCTTCTCTTATCTCAGCAGTGGCTGCAGGCAGAGCCCAGGTGCAAGAGGAGCCATTGGCAGAGACCTCCGAGGGTACCAGCATTAGCATCAACTGCTCACACCCCAAGATACAATCGAATTACTTCATCCTCTGGTACCATCAGATTCCAGGCCAAAGCCCCAAACTCCTCTTCATAAAGGGTCCGAAAAGCTGCAGCGCTGCAGAAGGTGCGCGCCCCCCCCCACCCCCCCGCCCCAGGACAGTCAAGACAAGGACCCCTAGGAACCCAGAATTTGATGCCAGACTGAGGACAGAGCTCCTGGCCATTGATTTCAGAGAGGCTGAGCATCCAGTACTACCCTTCCGAAGGAGGGCAGCTGGGGCTCTCTGAAAACATGACCAAAGTGTAACTTCCTTGCCTTCCACTCTCTCTCATCTCTTTCTTATCTTCTGTTCTTCTGGGCTGTAAGACCCCCAGAGCCAATGTGGGGGATCTGCTGGCCCCTCTCCTTCCGTGGCGCAGGCAGATGGATGCCCTGTGGGATCTCTACTGTGGGCAATGGGCACAGACTTTCTAGAGCTGCTAGTGCTCTCCTTGCTCTGGCCCCCTCCTCTAGAAGTGATCTCATTTTCCTGTTCAGAGTCATTCAAGTTCTCTGCGTCCCAACCTCTGCCTCCACATAATCCTTTTCTTGGTGGACATTGTCTTAGGTTGCCAAGGAATAAAGGCAGGGGGTAAGGTGGGGGCACAAGTGGAAGAGGAAGGGGAAGGTGGGACACAGGGCAGTGGAGCCTTTCCCGACACTGTCTCTTGGAGCTGAGGAAGACATACTCAGCTTCTCCACGGCCAGTGGTGACCAAGCCCTGTATTTTGACATCCCTGCTTAGATATGGCCTCTTGACCTCAGAGCATGTCCTGTAAACAGGGAGGTTGACCACTGCTGTCCCCCAGTGAGGATCCCAGTGCTGCTGGAGGCTCTGAGAAGTCAGCAGCTTGCATGCCCGTGAAGAAGGGAGATCCTCCTGCTTTGTATAGCCCTGTGCTGGGAAGAGAAGCTCTGTCAGAAGATGGCCTCAAAGGCTGCAGGAGTGATAATGGTCTGAGAAAAGACCTTTAAAACAGCCCCAGACCTTGTCCTCCTCATCCTCCTACCTGTCCCCAGAATGAGGGGGCATGGCCTGCACCCAAGGGCAAGGGTAGCAAGGGCAGGTCACCTATATGCCCCCTACCCCTGAAACAGTTCCCTGCACAGCTGTTACACAGGTGTGCAGGCCTGCCCAGAGAGGTGGTAGATGCCCCATCCTTGGAAACATTCAAGGCCAGGTTGGATGGGGCTCTGAGCAACCTGATCTAGTTGCAGATGTCCCTGCCAATTGCAGGGGGGATGGAATAGATGACCTTTAAAGGTCCCTTCCATCCCAAAGCATTCTATGACTCTATAAGTTAGGGATCCACATGGCAGCTGACTTGAGTGGGCACAGACCTGTGCTGTGCTGTGCTGAATATATCACTTCACACTTGGCAGTGATGTCACAAGCATGTTCTTGTCTTTAGGAGTGAAACACCGTGTTTTCATACAAATGTTATTTTGCTCAACAGTAGAAATGATAAATAGAGTCGTCTATTTCTAAGAAATTCCCATGAAAAATCCAAAGATGACAATGTCACTGAATATCAGCACGGGCAGGATTTGCACCATGTGACAAACTGTGAGTTGAGGTCCATTTCATGATCCATAATTAGGATTTGGTAGCATCTGAAGGGGCATAAGGTTTCCTGTGCTATCCCCCTTTTCCTTCTTGTGTTATTTCCAGTTCATGGTATTTTAATCAACACCTTATGCAGCCAGAGTGCCATTCTTACTGGGATCCATCTACATCCATGCTTCAACCTCATGGGTAAAACCAAAAGGTTATCCTCCAAGTTTGGCTCCAGAGGCTCCCTCCTCTCTTCATACTCCAGTCAAGTGTTAGAAGATTAAAAAAATTCTTCCTTTAGTTTCTCATTTGAAGGCTGAAGAACGTTGTTTCTCTCAGCCTATCCTCATGTCTCGTGTTACAGAAACAAAGAATTGGTGAATTTGGAAGGGATGTCTGGAGGTCACCTGGTCCAACACCCTGCTCAGAAAGGCTCACCTGGAGTTGGTTGCCTAGACCATGTCCAGATGATTTTTGAATGTCTCCAGGGATGGAGACTCCACAACCTCTCTGGGCATCCTGTGCCAGTGCTTCCTCACTCTCACTGTCAAACACTGTTTCCTGGTGTTAAGACAGAGCCTCCTGTGTTTCACTTTGTGCCAAATGCCTCCTCTTCTGTCACTGGACACCACGGAGAAGAGCCTCGCTCCACATTCTCACAGACTCCCATCAGATACTTGTACACATTGATGAGATCTCCCCTGGTAGAATCATAGAATCGTTTAGGTTGGAAAAGACCTTTAAGACCAAGTCCAACTGCTAAACTAGCACTGCCAAGTCCACCACTAAACTATGTTCCTAAGCACCACATCTACAGGTGCTTTAAATACCTCCAGGGATGAGAACTCAACCACTTCCCTGAGCAGCCTGTTCCAATGCCTGACTACCCTTTCCATGAAGAAATTTTTCCTAATATCCACTCTAAACCTCCTCTGGCACAACTTGAGGCCATTTCCTCTTGCCCTATCCCTTGTTATTTGGGAGAAGAGACCAACGCCCACCTTGCTACAACCTCCTTTCAGGTAGCTGTAGAGAGCGAGAAGGTCACCCCTCACCCTTCTTTCTTCCAAGTTAAACAACCCCAGCTCCCTCAGCCACACTTCATAAGCCTTCTGCTCTAGACCGCTCACCAGCTAAACCATGTCACAGGAGAAGTCATGTCTCCAAACAAGAGCCTCTTTTCCTACAGTGGTCGCTGAGGGAAGAGTAAGAGCTGGACAAGCAGCTGGGCTACGTCTCCTGAATACTCACTGCTCTGTCCCGTTCAGTTTCAGTGGCTCAGGGTCGTTCCTGAGTCTGCTGTGGCAATGCGGCCTCGTGGCAAGGAAGGCCAACAGCATCCTGGGTTGCCGTAGGAAGAGGGTTGCCCGCCGGAC